CCACCCAAAAGGTAGGTGAAGGGGTGGTTGGCATGGGAATCATCAGGAAAAAGCTCCCGCTGAAGAAGGGGGAAGTAAACTGTCATCCACAACTTCAGAAACCAGACAAGCCTATGGAAGTTACTGAAAGACTTTTTCGTCAGCGACTCCCTCATGCCGTTATAAAGGCAGCATAGAAACATCGTCCCCAAGGCTATTTGATTCCCGCAAAGTAGGGACTTGGAAATCCTCAAGTACAGTTGCACAGGCTTTCCTCCCTTCAGGGCCAGGATCCATTGACTTAGCAGGATTTAGAAGAAGACCAAGTGCTCTGTAGGTATGACGGACTCGTCAACTAGCTTCTCAGAGAACAACTCCATGATCTTTGTGTAGGAGTCCGCACTCCTAATCTTGCTCTCCAGATCGGCTGGGAGAGTGGTATAGGATTCATGCTTCTCAAGAATTGTGTAGAAGTTATCCTTCTCGATGATGGGCAGCCCCAGGAACATGAAAATGTCCCACAAGGTGACAGACATGGGGCTAAGCTTAAAGATAAAGGCGTTGTAGCCTAGAGCCTAGAAACTTAAAAGGTCATTAGAAGCTCGACTAGGATGTTAACATTAGCCAGGGACAATTGAGTTAAGTCATAAAGACCTATCTCCTTCCACTGAGTTGCTTACGTCTACTTCAAGTGCCTCACCTAGTTGACCCAAGCACGAGTAGACCGGGGCCAGTTCTTGAGCTTTTTGTAGGATGACTCGAGAAAAGGTAAGGTCGTCTGGGGTAGAATCAAGTTTCTAACTAAGGTCAACAACCATGGATTTGGTTGAGTAGGTTCGTCACTTCAAACAGGTTTGAAGAAATCATTAGGTACCCGATATTGCTTATGTTGGAGATTAGAAACTCTAAGAAGAAGTACTGGAGAAAAATAAAGAACAATTAGCATATTTTTTCTAATAAAATAGAAGGGTTGAACAAGAAAAGGAAAAAGCTTACCAGAAGCCGACGAAATCATAGAATGAAGAGCTTTCCTATGAAGAAAATAAAGAAATATTAGAATGTGGAACCAATCTAGGAGAAATAAGGGTTTCAGCAATAAGAAATGATCGTTATGAATTTGTTGAGTGGGGTAATAGGATTTCGAATAGTTGCCAGGGAATCAGGTAGACTTCCAGTAGATGTGGAAGATAAAGCGGCAATAGAGGGAGCTGCAAAAATAGAGGAAGCCATTTGAGAGCGAAAGGGAGATTGGAGCAAGGAAGAAAATATTTGAATGTCAAGAAAAGACAGAAAGGGCAAGAGAAGTGACCAAGAAATGAGTTTATATTAAGAAAGGGCGCTTAGAAACGAAGTGACATTTTAGTTTTTTCAAACACGCCACGTGGCTTACATTACCAGCCACTGGCACGCGGGGTGCATTATTTGGGCTAAAATATGAAACGTCGCTCAAATAGGTCACAAGACTAGTTGGGTTGAGTAACTGAAGCGTCAGGCCCAATATAAACAAAAGAGGCTGGCCCTGAAGCTCAATAAAGGCCACAATAAATAAATATGTTGAAATCCCGTAAGCTGCAAATATTGGATCATTGGCATGAAAGGACACGATCTCAAGTAATGCTGAAACGTACGAACTTCATGTTTAAGTATCTCAGCAAAACAGGCTGATTATCAAAATGGAGAACATGAAATAAAGATCATGCCATGAATTTCACGAGATCCTTAATTCTCCGGCAAAACATGTTAGGTCTTAAGAAAGATGCTACCACCACTCTGATATTATAAATAGAAGATGAAGACACAAAAGAAACTAGTCAATACTCAACCAAAGACTTGCATTTTACACTTTTTAACCCCTTTAGTTTATCAGTTAATTTTTTAGTTTAGACTTGTAACTTTTTGCATTTCAATAAAATTAAACACTTGTTCTACCTAAGCCTTGTACCTTTTACATCTGAGTGAACTGTGGTAAGGGAGCTCGGGATCCTTTTGTTATCAATTGAGACTCAGTGTCTTTGGCACACCTGGTATTTGTTGTTCATACACGAACAGGTCTTTATTTCCTTTGTTTTTTTATTATTTATAAGTATCTTTTTTATTAAAGGCAATCCTATTCAATTGGTTAAGCATTAAATGTGGATATTTCTTTTAGTGAGGATACAAATCTTAGTTTACTGCATTGTGAAGAACCAGCTTCTTCTACTAGACCAAATCTATTAGTTTTATTTCCCTTTTTCCAATCTTCCTTATTTTGTCATTTTCTTTCATTAGTATGGATAAGTTTGAACACTTCAACCTATTTAATTATTAGAAAAATCATAACAAAGAATTGCTTAAGATACTCTCACTATTAAAAAAATTTAAGACACATTTACTACTAAAAAATAATAATTTAGCGGAGAACCAATTCCTTATTAAATGACCATTTTTCCTCATAAACTAGAATTAATTAGGAATAAATTCTCTCGCTAATTTTATTGCTAAAAGAAGGCTTGCTAAATTAGCAAAGAAAAGTAACAAGTAACTTAATCCCTCGCTAAATTTGGATATATAATTATAAATTCATTTAACATGTACCATCCAAGTTAGAACTCATGGCTTGAGAAGACTCCTTATGTTTACCTTTTCTATCTCTTTATCTACAAAAACCTTGAAGCCTTATGAAATATTAAATATATATTATTGAATTACATGTTCAAGTTTGTTAATGTGATTGATATTTTAATGTATTAATTCTATTTCTTAACATGTTTTAAGACTTATATTATAAAACGAATAACGATGATTATACCATGGCCTTTCCGATTAACAATCAAGGATAAGGGTGGACATAATGAAAATGGCACATTCAAAACATGCTCATCTTAATTTCCGGTTTATCCTCAAAAAACCAATTCTTCAGCCAGATTGATATGATAATAGATGCAAGACTTCAATGAGTTTGGCATTACTATATAAATAATAAATAAATATTTTCATTTTACATCTATTCAAAATACACATGAACTTTCAATTAATATTTTGCATTTAATTTTTATTTAAGAAGACACATTTGAAAAGAATAATTTTTTTAATCTTTTATGGAACAGATATATTTGTTTATAAAAATTTAAATTAAAATTTTCATCAAACAATTTTAAGTCTCTTCAACTACATACGCCTGAAACTATATATACTTTAGAGGATCCTATTATGCGAGGATATCATTCCTGGAGGGTAGAGAGGGGGAAAATAACTCATGCATCTATATATCTCTTGTAATTCTCAAAATTAAAAGACTAAAATATATATTTATTCTTTTAATTTTATATATAATTTTATTTTCATCCATTAATTTTGTGTGTATTTTCAATTTTTTAACTTTAATAATATTAATTTCATCACAAAAAATTTCTACATTGAAATTTTAAATATAGATAAAATATTTTTAAATGTTGACATATTACATTTATTTGTTTTAAAATAACAATGATTGTCATAATTTTTTTTAAAACTAATAGTGTTAGGGTTAAATGATTAAAAATATACTTTATAAAATTGAAAAATCAAATTAAAATCTTATACTCCCTTTGTTAAAAAATATAAAGTATTTTTTTAGGACTTGAATGTTTAAAAATATAAAGTATTTTTAGTCTTTTAAGGTGTAGTCATTATTTTTTTCTAAAACTACCCCTATTGATAATGACTTTGTATTTATTATAGGGTAGTTAATATGGATAAATATAAAAAAAAATATAGTTAGTTTGAAAGTAGGTAACTACTTTATTAAGAGTGAGATTTGATTAAAAATATTTTATATTTTTTAACGGAGGGAGTATAAAATTAGAAAGTTAAAACTACACTTTAGTTAAATTAAAATCATCACAATAGTTGCGAACTCTAAAGCTAAAGAGATGATACAAGTTATAACTATTGTAATTAATTTTTTTTATCTTTTAAATTTTAACTCAATTAAAATTCATTCTCTTAATTATAATTTAGTATCACCTAATGTTGAATTTTTAGCTTGAGGACAAATGGAGTTCAATGCAAATGTGCTACGAACTTTCATGGAAACACTATCTCTTGAATCAAAGTAGCCCTTCTTGGCCGACAAGTCAAATCGGATATCCTCTATTTTGTCATAGCCTCTATTTTGCCATTTATTTTAAAACAAAAACAGATAAATTTTTATATGCTTGTAACCAATATTTCATTTAGCATCGTGTCAATCACAAGAAATCACATTGCAACTCTTCTTCATTGAACGTCACGGTAACCAAAACTACTGAGGTGAGGTGAGAAGCGTCTTTGGCAGCACCACTAGCAAATTTTTAAGTTTAACAGTGTTATTAACAGTTTTTGGCAACTAGGATGGCTAAATAATGACTCAGAAAGAGTTAAGAAGGTTAATAATTAATTTTTGAAATAGTTAAAAGATAAAGGTTTTAACTAAATTAAAAGTTTAAGAACTGAATTACATTAAATTATAATTAAAGAATTAAATTATAATCGAATCAATTTTCTTCTTCTGTTTTTTTTTTTTAATTGTAAGTTGTAGTTGTTGTTATATGCATATAACCTCAGGCATGCTGAAGCTCAACTTTCTGCTACATTGCTTTAAAAGGAGGATTTAAGATTCATGAATTTCTATAAAATTTTCTTTCTTTTTTTTTTTTTGCTATTTTTACTCAGTTCATTATTTTTTATAAAACAAAATCTTCTCTCTCTAGACAAACTTCATAAATTCACGAACGTTCATTTTTAGAGGATTTATTCCCACTTCGAAAATATAGCAACAAACGTGAAATCAAAAGCAAGATTGGTTGTTTGTTGAATTAAATAGAACAGATCAAACTCTCCCTCATTAACTACTAAGCTAGTGAGTTGTCCATTTGCACTTTTGATCATGTCTTACACAACTTCTTCAAAGACAGGGATTTAAACAACCCCAGAAAGAACAATGATTCATTCGAAGCAACATTTCTAATTCTTCATATCACCTGCTTGCTTTGGTGTCAAATGGAGCAAATTAACCCCATTCATAAAAAGCAACATTTAAATCATAAATTATCATTGATAAGGTAGTACACCAGTGTTTTTTTCTCAGAAGGTAATACATATCTATACTGTTAGCAGGAGATGGTGCTTACATTGTTGGGATTAAATGGATCAACTATCATCAAGCGCTTGCATTGAAAGTACTTCCTCAACACAAGAAAAACATGGCTTGTCCTGGAACCACCATATCCCACTGGCGGTTTCCTTCAACAAGATCCTCAAGGATGGATCTCAAATTTGATTATTTTTTAAGTATGAAACTTGTAGCTTCAATTAGTCAGATAACAAAGTTGAAAGAAACAGATCCTGCACAAAGCCGGATCTCCCGGCTGCTTGTCTCATCCTTTTCTCCCGTTCTTCAGTACTCAAGGAGGGATCAAAACTGCAGGAAGTGACAGTGTGAGAAAGAAATGGTGGGTAAGAATAAGAGGAAAGCTTCTTACACCTCAGTTTACAAAAACTTGGCGACACTAGACAGAGCCTTGATCTTTTAAAATAGATCAAATCGATGACCTCGGAAGGCGATCCGATGAGCATGCACAAGGGTGAGTTTTAGTGATGAAAAGGGGCATTTGGATTGCCTTATAGTAGCATTACTCAATTAATAATTGGTCTAGCAATATGATCAAAGGGGCATGTTATCCGTTGCAAGGTGAATGAAAAAGGGGATTACTAGCAACCGGGATGAAATCAAGGTCAATGTAAATCTTGCTACTGGCCTCCCCATGGCATTAAATTCGCAGACCATTTGATAACTTAAACAAAAACTTCTGATGAAGAACTTTTTTTTTTTTTATATTTAAAAACCCAATTTATCTTAGTAAGTTAAAAAGAAAATTTCCTAACCATAGGCCAGGAATACAGGGAACTGCTTGATGCATCTTGATTAGACAATTTGATAGTGATACATGGTACTGACAAAATTCAATAAAAATGTCGAAGTGTCTGTTTTACCAAACATGAAAAAAGAAAAAAAGAAAATCAAGGAAAAGTACCTTGATTTCCAAATATGTGCAGGTGCCATATTCTTTGCAGAAGAATCTTCAGTGCTTGGTAACACGGATTTTGAAATATCTTCCACTTCAGAAGCAGGGAAATTCAAAATAAGCGAGGATAGGAATGGATCAGTTGCTGCACTAGATACATTAGAACTGCTTGACCGGTAACCGCCCTCACTACCACCAAGAAGCAGTTGTAGATGGGCCTCACGCAGATCTCTTCCCAAAAGGGACAATGCCTGACTGTTTGGGATAGCAACTTTTCGTAACCTATGTCTTCTCTGCAAGTAATCCTCAGTTAAGGGGAAGCAATAAGCATAATTGGCCTTTTCACTTGATAAACAGACTGTCAGCTAGACAAGCATACAATCTCAGATGAAAATAATAAAAGTAAAAAGGATATCTTAAACAAGTGCCCGTGCTGCAGAGTTATGTGACTTAGCATGTCTCGAGCAACTTTGACTGAGCAAATTGGGCAAATCTGCCAGACAGAAATGGAAATTAGACATTAGTTATTCATTGATCATAGGCTTCTTTAAAACATGAGTTGGTAAGACGCTAATAAGATGTGATCCAAGAGAAGAATAAAATTATGATTAAAACACGAATATACTCTCAATAGCTAAATTCCTCTCTATACATTATTTCATTGTTACCAACACATATCAATTTCTTATATTATGATCAAATTACCAAGGGATCAAGTGCTACAAATGAACTTAACATTACATGAAGCATTACATAGTGGGATTCATAAATAAACACAGCTGTTATTTGTTTGCATGTTTACAAAATTGAAATGTCTCCCACATCATTATTGGAGATAAAACATATGGAATACCCATGTTGACAGGATAGGTTGTATTTTCCATATCAAATAAGTTTCACATGTATGATACAAAAAGCACTTCTCAACTACCTAGATCATCATGAGGAAAAGTTTTTTAAAAAAAAAAATGCATCACACATGTCATTAACTAAAGGCCTATGTATTAATACCATAAGGTTTCAGAACAGTTATCTACGCAAAACATGAAAAAGACTCGAAAAGAAGATGGATATTCATCATTTTTGTACGCCCACAATAGCTGGGGAGGAAAAAACAGCTATTAAGCATTAAAGATTTCAAAAGGCATACAACTCTCCCTTCCTACGGCTACTCTACCTCCCTTTGTCTTAAAAAGAGAAACATTTAAATTTCTTACAGAAGTTAACTTCATCCATTTCGGCTATTAATAACTATATTAAGCAATCTTGAGCATGCCCTTTGCCTTCTATTCCTTTGAAAAGTCCACCACCACCCTAAACTAATCTTACATCTTCCTGTATATATCATCAAACTTATTGTTTACTTAGGTGCAAAAAGAATTTCCTAATTGACTTTCATCTTTTCATTACCCCAAATGAAATAGCATAAAGTTTCTATTTCGTTCAAAAATTCCTATCGAGGGAAAAACAGGATCTGACTATAGTTTTGAACTTTCAACACAGGAACACAATATAATTGTCCAGAAAAAAATTAAGGACCACTACATCAGTTCTCTTTTTATCGCCAAAGAAACGTATGAATATCAATACAAGATAGATCTGATAAAAGAGTGTACCGCGACTCTTGTTTCACATGAGTGCTCGTCTTCAAGATGCGAACAAAGAGAGGCGATGTCGAAGTCATCATAACAATATGGGCATGAAAAATAGGGTCGGACCTCGTCCTCCACATCGAAATCATCGATTCCCAACCGATCTGACAGCACCAGAAAACCAGAAATCAGATTTTTCAAAAAGAGAAAAAAAAAAGTAGGTCCCATCACGAATTGAAATCTATACGAACCCAAGTGGGAACTCTGATTCTGATTCTGATTTTGGTTCTGATTCTGAATCATATAATGGCGTTTGGCGGCGGCAAGGCGCGAGGTCCACAAGTCAGAATCCATGGAAGGATCGAGGGATGATCTTTATTATGTATAAGAGGAGCGGAAACAAACTCAGATTCAGTCAAATCTCCTCCTCCAACAAATCAAACACTCACCCCAGAGAAAGAAAAAAAGGAAATTCGGTCAGGTCAGAGGAGCTGATAAGAGAACTGTGTCTGGTCGTTTAGCGTTGATCCTTTGAAATAATTTCTTTGTGGAATTGACTTTTTCAAAGGATTTTGATTGCTCCAAGCTTCAGAACTGTCGACTGAATATGAGAGAGGCGTTTGGTAGTGAGGAAAATGTGTGGGTTTGAAGAAGAATAGAGAAGAAAATATAGGAAATGCGTTGGGATAATACAAGACAAGTACACGCGTTTGGCTTTTGGACAAATGTGTGTGTTCTGTATTTTTGTCACTGGGGTTTGCTGAAATTTTTGCCGCCTTTGGCTAATTTTTGTTCGGTCTCTGAACTTTATGTCGATGTATTAATTATTGATGCTTCGGTGCACAAAGTCCAAGTAAACCGATCAGAGAAATCGAATCAAAGAATTTATCTATATATATATATATATATATATATATATATATTACATCCACATGTCCAACTATGCATGTCAAAATTTATAGTTCGATGGTAACAACTCCTTCCGTTTTAAAAAATATAAACTATTTTTAATTAAATTTTATTTTTTAATAAAATAATTATTTATTTTTAAACTAATTTTATTTTTTTATATTTACTTCTATTAAATATCCCATAATAAATATAAAATCATTCATTAATAGAGATATTTTTTAAAAAATAATAATTAAATCTTAAAAGACTAAAAATATCTTACATTTTTAAACATCTGACTCTTTAAAAAATATTTTATATTTTTAAATAGAGAAGGTAATTAAAAAATTAAACATACACATCTCTAAAAGAAGAGAAGTATGCATAAACAAATCATCATTATGAAATCATTTATTGTTAAAATTCAAATAATAATAAAAACTTTTAAAAAAAGATGATTTGTTATTAATTTTTATTTATAATTAATTTTTTTAAAAATTTTTTGAATATAATTTTCCCAGAAACATTCTAGGTATTAACTCCCATTTCATATATAAGTTATTTTGTTAAATTATTGATATTTTTTGAAAAGAAAGAAATTTCCTTATTTATTCTTATCAAATGTATTATCTTTAAAAATATTATCTTTTATATGTAACATTTTAGCTTGGCTAAAGTGTACCTTTGAACCTCTAATTTTATACTCCTTTTATTAAAAATGTAAAGTATTTTTAACCGAATTTCACCCACTAATAAAGTAGTTACCTACATTTTAACAAATCTTATTTTTTTATATTTACTCCTATTAAATATTTTATAATAAATATAAAGTCATTCATCAATAAGAGTACTTTTGAAAAAAAGATAATAATTACACCTTAAAAAACTAAAAATAAAAATGTCTTATATTTTGAACATCCAACTCTTCAAAAAATATTGTATATTTTTAAATGGAGAGAATATAAGATTTTAGTTTGATTCCTTATTTTTATAAAGTATTTTTTTAATTATCTAACCCTTACATTTTTATTTTCAAATTATTACTTTTTTGTGACAATTATGTTTATTTAAAAAAAAATCAAATTTAATATGTGAAAATTTTAAAATATTTTTTTAATATTTAATAATTCAATATAAGAATTTTTTAATAAAACTAATAATATTAGGATTAAGCGAACATTTATAAAATTGAGGATTAAAATAAAATTTTATATAAAGTTAATGGATATAGCACTTTTGTTTGTTAGATTTCATTTTAGTTATAAAAAATTTTGAAATTATAAAATTAGAGAAAATAATTAATAATCTATCTTTTATATAAATAATTCACAAAGACAAAAAGATTACCAATTTTTTTAAAAGATGAATTCAAAGAAGTAAAGAGCTAACCTTTTACGTCAAAGAGTATCTATTTTGAACTTTTTGTATAAAGGGTAATAAATAATAGGGAAAATTATGAATAGGTCCCATAGAAGCAACTTATTTAACAATAAGTCCCACGAAATTGAAAAATTACAGCTAAATTTTGTGGGACTTGAATGCAATTTGTAATTGAAGTAGAAAGACAACATTGCCCTGTTAAAATAATCAAATTATTGCAGAAAAACACTCAATCTCTCCCTCTCCCGCGATTATTCTGTCTCCCGCGTTTACTCTGCCCTAGCTGTCGCCCCTTGCTCGCTCGTTACTGAGGGTGAGCCACGCACCTTGACTGAAAGGAAGACGAATGATGCGTGAGCCTTGCAAGCGATAGAGGCGAAGGCGATGAAGGTGAATGCGAGCTGAACCCAGAGGAATATTGTAACATCTTGATCTGGTAATATGTTGCCCACATTTTTAGATTATTCTGGGTTGAATAATTTCGACCAAGCCAAATGATAAAATAGCATGTTTAGAGGCTTGATGTTAGATGTATCGTGCAGGTCACTTGTTCCCCATTATTATCTTTCAAGCCTACTATTCTAGAGCTGTCTGGTTTACAATGAGCCTATCACTGAAAACGGATTGCGTTATGGAAACCATTTAACTCTTTATCTCATTAGTGTAGCATGGCTATGACAGAAGGCCAATGGACTTCTGCTTTCAAGTTAATTCTTAGTCTATGTTTGATGTATGACAAAATGTTTTCTAGAAAGAAAAGGGGGAATTTATTTGGATATAAGATGAGATAGGTGCATTTTCCATTTCGTTTCTTGAAAGTACTTTTCCATGTTCCAAACATGCACTTAAGGCCCATTTGATTGTTGAAAAGAAATGCAATGTAATGAAATATGTTGATGGAGAATAAAATAGACTAAAATCAAGTTATGGAATGGTAAAGATGAGAGTCATGGACAGATGAATAGATGGGCATGAGGATTTATGACCTTATTCATGTCAATCCTCATTCCCAGCTCTCATTTCAGTCCTTCACTCTCCACAAAATCACTAACTTTAAAGACTGTGGACCTCCAGGGAAAGGCCTGAAGAGTTTGTTCTAGAGTGATTTAAAAAGGAGATTGATTTCAAAGGACAAGACTTAATTTGAATATATCCCATTTTGTTAGGAAGAAGGATATGCAGTTATATATTGTGTCAGCTATCATTACAAACCTAAACTCAAATTGCACAAAGAAAACGACTTCCTGTGCTTAAAATTTGACATAGTTTTCTTGAATATATGATTTGTACAGGTCAAATCATGGATAAAGGAAAAGGGAAAGTGGCCGGATCTAAGAAACCTAATTTTTTCGGTTACCATTTATTTAGACAAAGATTTTTTAACCAGCCGAAAGCGAAAAGAGAAGGTGAAAGATTGGCTAACAAGGAAGTGGTAGCTGCTTGGAAAAATTTATCCACGGAAGAAAGAAAACATTATAACGACCTAGCTGCTGAAGAAAGAGAAAGAAGAAGCAATAATTTGCCAAAACAAAGTGTGGTATGTATAGGATCAAAGATGTTTTTTTTTAGTTTTTTTTTATTTTGGAGTATAGGTGAGTGACATGTTTATGGAATTAACAGCATCCATTTGAAACTCGTTGTTCTCCTAACCAATTTGCTGAGGTTGGGGAGTTTGTAAAGAAGCATCAATGGATGAAGGATAAGGTTGAAAGGATGGGGTTCTCACAGTTACTAAACATACAATGCACCAAGATACATCGAGAATTGTGCTTCGAACTAATGATGGCATATGACCCACCCACTTTCACTTTATGTGCAAGAAGTGTAAGAAGACGGGTTAAATGTGAAGATGTCGAGACATTGATGGGCCTTCCAAACACCTCAAAGGAGGTGGTCATTGCTCAAGCTGATGACAAGGTGCTTCGAATCATGAAAGAGAAGTATTCTGGCATGTCTTATAAGAAAGTGAAAGATATGATGATGTCTAGTGAGAATGATGATGCTTTTGAGACTTTATTTTTGTTGTACACGCTGGGGACTTTTTTAGCTCCTACATCTAGTCCTCATGTGAGTGATCATTTACTTAGAGTAGTTAGTAAGAACTATGTGCTCACTGGAATATATGATTGGGCAACATTTGTATTGAACGAGATGACTAGGGAGGTCCAAACTTTCAAGGAATCAAGGGGCAAGAAGAGAAATGTTGGTAGATGTCTTTTTTTCCTTCAAGTATGTAATTTTAGAATTTTTAGGTTTTTGATTAATGTTGAAAGTCTTATTGCCATGTGATGTCTTATTAACATTGGTTAATGTTTTATGGGCAGATCTTTTTCTTTCAGAATTTCCCATTAGAGGAGCCAGAGACATTGCCTTGGCCAAGCAATGCTGTTAGTTATTGGAATGAGAAAAGGGCGTCTGAGCGAGTTCTCATGGAAAGACAGAGCGATCATGGCATGTTGTACAAACCTAAGCTTGCTGCAAGTGACTCTTCCTCTCAATTTCTTCCAGTACTAGCCTTTCAAGACATTGTAAGATAATATAATAATTATATAAGATTACTGTTAAATGATGTCATGTTTACTTGTATGATGGGAATATTTGTAACTATGTTGTTGTAGGATCTCAAGGAGGCATATGTAAAGCTAGTTGGACATATTGGTGAGGTGCTTATGAAGGTGCAAAAGAAACGTTATGCACTTGAGAAGAAGAGAAAAATATATGATCTAGAATAGGCGGAGGAGGTGAGTCATGTTGCAATATATGAGGAAGACAAAGAAGATAAAAGAGCTGAGGATGAAGAAGAAGGGAAAGAAGAAGGTGAGAACGAAGAGGAAGAAAATGAGCAAGAAGGAGGTAAGGACGAAGAGGAAGAAAATGAGGATGAAGAGGAAGAAAAAGAGCATGAAGGAGGTGACGGAGATGAGTTAATGGATATTGATGTAGAAGAAGAAATGAAGCTTAAAAGGTCAACTAGAGGCCATCACGGTAGACGATGGTCTGGCTTTAAGGTGACATTGCCACAATTCACCTCCAATGACGTGACATATGATGAGAAGCGACGCCTTTATAATTTTTGCACAAAATGGGCTAAGAAAGAGGATTGCGAACAGTAAGCTTTAATTATTAGTTATGTATTATGTAAATAACTTTTTTTGTGGTCTCAATTTGACATTATTCTATTATTTTTAAACTAATCTAAACAGGTTGTTCGTTGATATGTATGATTTTTATGTAACACGAGGTGAGTTGCGTTGTTTTGCACCAAGAAAATGGATCAATGATACGGTGATGACTATGAAGATCAAAGCTTTGATGGCTGCTCAAAAAGAAAGAGAAGGTGGTGTGAGGCACCACATATTTACCCCATTGTTTATGGAAATAATGATGAAAGATGTGCAGGGTTGGAAGGTTGGGGAGCATACTATGTTGTTTATGCCAGAACATTTAGGCTACGATATTATAGAGTGGGATTTCATTATTGCACCAGTGTTGTACCATTCACACTGGTTTTATTATTTTGTGGAGCTAAAAGGATTGCATTTTCATGTGCTTGACTCGTTGTATCCGCTTGTGCCCAAGCCAGACGACACTTTAGCAAATGAGAAGAGATTGCTAGCCCAGAGTATGGTAAGAAATAATATACAATTTTCATTTTGAGCTTATATGATATTTTGCATGATACTTATGATTGTGTTTAATCGTATAGTCTCATAACTTCAAAAGCATCCTAATGATGGTTAATCCAGACAAATATCACAAGAGTTCCGACTTGGATGTGACATTTGCCCTTATTCCAAAACAAAAGACTACGTAAGTTAATCTTGATTAATTTAAAAGTTATTATAAATACATTAAAGCTATTAATTGAGTAATTTTGTTGTAGATATGATTGCGGCCTACATCTTATAACATGGCTTGAACAATGGGATAACACTGAACAACCTGAATGGAATGGCAAGTCAATGCCTCCTATAGAGAAGGTAATTTTCCCTTATATTATCTTTTCTATTTTTCGGTGCATTATGGAAAATTGTACATGTTCATGGTGTTTAAAACATAAGTACTAAATCATATCTTTTGAATTTGAACTTAGGGTGCAATGGAAAGGCTTCGTATTGACATGGTGTGGGATTTAGTAAACGATCCCAATAACACAGCTCGGGAAAATGTTATGGCTTGGATGGAAAACGACAAACTAAATAAGAAAGCCAAGACGGTTCATTGATAGTGTTTAAATATGATGTTAACATTGTAGGCTATGTAAAGCACTTGTGTTCATGCTCCACAATTGTTTGTCGTTCGCTTATAACTGGAACTTCATATTTTACGAGTAGAACTTCTTAATTCACAGGTCATGTTTCTTGTTTTGCAACTACTATACTAAAGCACTTGTGCTCATGCTCCACAATTGTTTGCCGTTCGCTTACAACTAGAACTTCTTATTTTACAAGTAAAACTTCTTAATTCACAGGTCATGTTTCTTGTTTTGTAACTAATATACTAAAGCACTTATGCTCCTGCTCCACAATTGTTTGCCCTTCGCTTACAACTGGAACTTCTTATTTTACAAGTACAACTTCTTAATTCACAGGTCATGTTTCTTGTTTTGTAACTAATATACTAAAGCACTTATGCTCCTGCTCCACAATTGTTTGCCCTTCGCTTACAACTGGAACTTCTTATTTTACAAGTACAACTTCTTAATTCACAGGTCATGTTTCTTGTTTTGTAACTAATATACTAAAGCACTCGTGCTCATGCTCCACAATTGTTTGCCATTCGCTTACAACTAGAACTTCCTATTTTACAAGTAGAACTTCTTAATTCACAGGTCGTGTTTCTTGTTTTGTAACTAATATACTAAAGCACTTGTGCTCATGCTCCACAATTGTTTGCCATTCACTTACAACTGGAACTTCTTATTTTACAAGTAGAACTTCTTAATTCACAGGTCATGTTTCTTGTTTTGTAACTAATATACTAAAGCACTTGTGCTCCTGCTCCACAATTGTTTGCCATTCGCTTACAACTGAAACTTCTTATTTTACAAGTAGAACTTCTTAATTCACAAGTCATATTTCTTGTTCTATAACTACTATACTAACGAATTTGTGTTTATGCTCCACAATTAAAACATAGAAATTGATAATCTTTCACCAACATAATCATATAAGATCATCATAAATTTAAAGAAAAAACATTTTACAATTGAAAATGAACTATTTAAGCTTTAGCTTGTTAGGTCATATAGGGTTAGGATTTCGACATGTCCTACGTGTGTGACCACTTTGGCCACATCTTGCACAATGATAAATCTTCTTGCGTTGTGATTGAGACTCTCTTCTCACTGATTGGGGCCGACTAGGAGGACGAGAGGTAGTAGGGGGCCTTAGGAAGGTTTCTGTCATCATCTCGGTAATTGTTAACGCATTTACTCGTGGCATGTCATTTGTCTCGATGGGGATTATTGTTTCCTTATATATTTTCTCCTGAGATCTCAAATTGTAACATCCTTCCACATAAGAGTACACATTACCATGAACCTTTTTTATAGCTGCACATGCATGAGCACAAGGGATTCCAGACATCTGCCAAGCTTGACATGTACATTCTCTAAGAGATAGGTCAACTCGTAAATGAATGTCTCCTATCTTCACACTCAGCAAGTTACCTGAATGATGGTTAGCTAACATTACTTCCGCCCGTGCAACATTAGCCTTCAACTTTCCTTCAATGTTTGGCCCAATACCATTCTGCCACTTGCTTATAGCAACTTTGCTTGCATACATCTTACTCGCAAGCTTTTCTTGATGTTCAAGAAGTAGTGTGACCACACTATGTTTTCTTTCTTTAACTAGCTAAGCATTGAAAGATTCAGACAAATTATTAGTTATGTTGTCCCACTTACAAAAAGGGAATTTTGACAAGGCCCATCTATTAATGTCACCATTAGTTTCCAACCATTGAGCCAACTCTGGACAAAAAGCTCTCAAATTTCCCATTGCTCTATTAAATTCAAGATCAATTCTAGCATATGCTATAGCATCCAACAACTTCAATGCATCTTCCTTGCTTGTTGTGGTAGCTCTTCTTCCACGTCTTCCAATCTTTACAAACTCTGCACTAAAATTTTCTTTGATGTGCCGATAGCAAAATGCATGTCTATTCCCTCCAAAAACAGCTCCCACAGCACCAATAATTGCATTGTGTCTATCAGATACAATAGTCACTTCTAAAGACCCCATAATATCTTTCAAGTTATGCATAAACCAAGTCCATTCTTGTAACTTCTCCCCACTAACTATTGCATAAGCCACCGGAAATAGATCATTATCTGCATCATCAGCAGAAGCTGATAACAATGTTCCTTTATACGGCCCGCTCAAGTGACATCCATCAACATATAAAATAGGTCTGCAACCATTTAAAAAGCCATCTATACAACAACCATAAGCAATAAACAACCTCTCAAACCTGTTATCTCTGCAAGCTGTCCATTTTGCTATTGTCCTTACATCTTTCTCAGTCAATCTTTGACAAATCCATGGAATCAACTTGTATGAATCTTCAGGAGCACCATGCAACTCCTCCATTGCTCTCTCTTTTCCCCTGTATGCTTGGCTATAAGTAAGGGTAAGCCCAAATTCTTGGTACAGGTCCCGTCTAATCTCGTTAGGAGTTTTGTCAACATTTGACTTTAGTTCATCGATTATTATAGATGAAGTTAGATTTACATTAGCCTTCTGCTGAACAACTAATGTATCTTGTGCTGAGTGTGCATGCTCATTACATAATGATGTTACCCTCAATACAGGACTTGTTTCAGAAATGGCATATGCACTCACTCTCCATTTGCACCCATCCACCTTGCACTTTACAATAACCTTTTTTGTGTTATTTTTCACAAAACTATAACAAAACTTATTTCCAATGCTAAACTTGTAGAGTACTTGTCTAAATTCTACAGCATTATGGAACATTTGCCTAACTCCATAAAGCAAATCTTTCCATTTCACAGCATTAAGCTCGGGTAACGGTGCTGGTGCAGTGCTCATTGAAAGAGGTATCGATTCGGGTTCATGGTTGAGTTCATTCAAGCTAATTGAATACCCACCAATTTGTGACCATTTGCAATAACAAACAAATATCCACCAATTAAATCACAATAATTCCCAAATGATGTTAAGTAAATATTACAACTTACCCCTCATGTGACTCGGTTACCATGTCTATATTACTAACATCATTGCCAACAATATAAACATGGGCAGTACCGTCATTGAACTCTATCAAATTAGCAACTCCTTCATCATCTTCAAGGTCAACTAATGTGTTCATTTCAGGTTTTATGGTATACTTCATCTCCAATATATTTGTTTCCAACCCAATACATGATCTTATAATTCTTTTCAACTCTTCAAGTGTTGTGCCTTCATTAATTGCTCTTCTTTTTGCCCTCCCACCTTCATAATGTATACTCCCATCTTGATTCTTCACCATTTTCCCTCCAATATGAAAATAACAATATACTCGTTTGGATGAAGAACTTGCCATCATACATGTAAACCTGTTGAATATTAACATCACCATTATCTTCTCAAATCAACAAAGTTTAAAATTAATTATTTACAACTACCTTATCAATAATTTACAACAAAAATATCAAATTTTTACAACTGAAACATCACATATCTAATGGTGACATTGATTATACCTTATTAAGAAGTTTAACGCTAGTTGGCTTACAGCTATTTTATCAGTAATTTACAACTAGTATTTCAACTTTTCACAACTCTAACTTCAAATATTTAATAATTCGACCAATCAGTATTTTCAGCAATCATGGGATCACTCACAGAAATTTTGTTCTCTGTAACTTTTTTCACTGTCATTGAACTCTGTTTCTCTATTTTCTTTGTTTTTTACATTGATCCAGCAGAGCAAATGTTCAAATCTTTTATATCTAGCAAGTTTGATAAGAAGTTTGAATATTGAACAGTGAAAACTAAGGCTTACAGTAATGGAAACGTAAATTAAATAATGAAAACGCAGAGCAATTACAGCACCAAGGAGAAAGAATCGAGATTACAATTGACTGTGGTGATGAATGATGATAATGATTCTGCCCTAGCAATTCCCAACGAAGAGAGCGAGCAATGGTTAGAGCAAAACACGAATGAAGTAGAATAGATAGAATGAATGGAGCACAATAGACGAACTGATGAAGGAGAAGAATAGTAGCGACAAGGCAATGACGTGAGAGACTGAGTATAATGGTTAATTTAGGTAAAGGGATATTTTTGTCATTGTAACCTATTAAGTAGGGATAGTATTGCATTTGCACACATATTACAAATTACACTCAAGTCCCACAAAATTTAGCTGTAATTTTTCAATTTCGCGGGACTTATTGTTAAATAAGTTGCTTCTATGGGACCTATTCATAATTTTCCCTAAATAATAATACCCCTTTTTAATGCGTATATGATTTTTCGAGCTAATATAAATTTTCACTTTCTTTTAATACACACATGTACGGCTGTAATATAAGTATATGGATTACAACTGTCAGTCAACTATGGATATGCACCAATTTATATTAATTTTTTATAGGCATTTTAATGTAATATTTTAGAATTTTTTTCAATAAATTTTTATCAACTAGTAGCTAAACTCCATATATTTAATGATAAAGATAAAATTACACTGTTTTTACATGTTCATTAAAAGGGGACATTGCACCATCAAAAAACGTAGGATATCATACAACTGCATAAATAATTAAGGGGTAATTTAAAAATAAATTTGGTAATATAAATTATTTAGAAAATATATTTACAAATATATTTTGTAATGAAATTTGTGAAATATTTAGGGGAAAAAATTTTTGTCGCAATTTCTATTTTGTTGTTGAACTCTCATGCATTTGATGACCCAATTTTTTTCCCCGGCCTGATTTGATGAGCCACTCGAGTACATAGATTTACTCTTTTTTATATCCATGAACCTCTTTAATTAGATGAATCAATGAATTTGCCTTCATTCATTAATAATTAATAATAATTTGTGTACATGAATTATTTTTAAATTCGTGATTCAATGAAAGAATGAATAAAAAAGAGTTCAAAGTTCGGAACGTAGAAAAAAATATGAAAATTGTAATAAACATAAAAATGAAGTATGAATTTCCATTCCAAATAAGATGAACTATTTGTCCCAAATAAAAAATTTCTTTCTTATTTTGCAACAGATTTGCATAAATTTATAATTACGTCGAGAATCTCGTTGGAAACAAATTGCAACAAATTTTGTTGATAATTTTTTTTCAAAATCTATATCACAAACTTTTTTTGTTTTGTCGTAGGTTAACCAATTTTATTAAAAGAGTAAAAGAGCAAATTGATATCTAAATTATAAGTTTAAGAGGGTATAGAATTCTAAACTTAATTTTAGTGTAATATTCATTTTCATTTTTTGAAAATGATTCAATCTGACCCATACCATTAATAAAAATTAATTTTAAGCATTTGTTGACTACAGAATGACCAAAAAACTAAAAAATTACAATAAAAATTTAGATGAGTTAGGTTTCATATGTTTACTAGAGCCAAGGCATATTTCAAGACTCAAAAATACTTATAGATGCACTTATAAATAGTCTATCAATAAGGTCTTCATTTCGACAACAAGATTTGAGCTTATGACCTCATTGTTTATGGACCCACTTTTTATCAACTAGACTAATTAATCTTTGTTGGTACTTGGTAGGACCAAGAAATTTTTATTAGTTTTTTTGGTAACTTTTAAGGTCATTTAATTCTATCATTTTATGGTCAACTAATAGTTAAAATTAATCTTTGTTAATGCAGAATCCAAATTGCACTGTTTTAAAAAGTTGAAGGGAATATTACATTAAAAATAAGTTTAAGATCTCTAATACTCTTGAACTTATAGTTCAAGAGTAAATTTATTTTTTTACTCTTTTTTAAAAAGACATAAATATAAAAATATGATAGGTTCAATTTAGTCACTTCCAGCATAAACATAAGAAAATTGATCAAAGAGATTTTTTTTTTAAAACCAAAAGGAGATGCCATTCCATTAATAGTAAAAAAAATTGAAATACAGTGCAGAGAATTGAGTAACGGGCTTCTAGTTGGTTGAAGCCCAATATGACCTAAAGATGAGCTCAACCCAACAACGAATCACCTCATAAGTGTAAGTGGGATGCCTTGTTTAGGAAGTCAGTGACGTGGTCTTACCTATTTTGCCCACTACTTGAGTTTCTCGGTGCACCCACCTTTACTACCTCACACGACGAGGTGTACCCACAATGATTTAATGGCGTGAACAATTATCTGCTTCTTTTGGCACTAGAACTCAAATTCAAAGGAAAGCGCCATTGCTATATTCCTATAAATAGGTGATGAGTGTATAACAACAAGTATGTCGAAACTTTGCCAAGTCTTACTAGGACTTGCCTAATGTAAAAACAGAAACTTTGACCTCGCTATATTTCTATAAATAGGGGATGAGTGCTTAATAAAGACCATATTTGACTTCAAGGTTCGGAATACAATGTTGTAGGCATAATGTGCAAGACTCAAGACTCACGTCCTAAGGATAAAAGGGAGGCAGGATTCCTAACTCAAGAGACATTTGATTACTTGGATCAAGACAAGCCCATATCCACCTTGTGCATCGAGCCACTTGGCTGAGAAGGATTTCTAAATAGAGGTTGAAAGTCCTTCAAAAAGCTTTAAGTAGCAGGCTGAGCAAATCAAAAAAGACTCTAAGGACTTTATGATGTGCTATGTAATATCCGCCTTGACATTACCAGGACAACACTCACATATTGTTGTGATAATTAGGATTTAATAAAACCCCTTACCAAACCTACCACAACTCAAGGGTTTAAAAAAATAATTAGTTAAAACATTGGGATCTTAAGAAAACCCTTTTTAAAATATAGTTTGAGCTCAAACCATGGTTAAAAATCAATTAAAAAAAAATACGGAAGCATGAAAATCAATTTACTTCGAAACAAATTAAAACAAGTCATTTTGCCCTTATTTGGTCTGTCTGCCACAGCGAATGGCACAGAGGGACGAATCTCTCGAGGGCCTCTTGTGCCGCGGCGCAACACTCATGAGCCGTGGCTCACACCTGCTGTCATGACTTTTCTCTAAATTTTCGGAGCGCACTATTTCACCATCCAACATCCGATTTGAGTGATTCAAGTGTCCACACGAAGCTCTTTGAGCCCTCTAGCTAATGGCACCATTCTCACATTCAAACAATCATTTGTTTAAAAGATAAACACTCGAACCCACAATAATTTGTTTCCATAACAAAACACATACTATGATGTCCAACTCACAATACACAATGCCATTAGCCCCAGAGACACCTTGTCCACCTCAAATGGACCACACACTACATAACAATCCATTCATATCACCCAATTAAGCAATCACGCTCAAAATGACCACTAAATCTCCATTGGACAATAACACAATAGGGTGGATAAAATTCAACACACAAATCAATTGGTCATTTTGGCACTCAAAACACTTGATATATATATCACATGTAAGCAACTTGGCCAAGCACACCTAATCCATAACACTATTCTTGGATCAAGATATATACACTTATCATAAATTCATACAAGTGATGTCCAAATAATGTCATGTTCCGAAGTTGGCAATATTTAATGACAATATTCATTACAAAATCAAAAAGAAGAAAGGAAAGAGCTATGCTATAACGTTCTTTACTCTTCAGACGCTCCTTCCTTCCCCTACCCCTACCGAAGCCCTCACCTGTAAAATATAACTATGGGGTGAGATAAACATCTCAGTAACCAATATGGTTCATCAAATGTTTATTACCACAAATAACCATGAACAAGTATCAAAACGATAGAAATAACAAACATACCATAATTATGAGATAAATGTATCTCTTCTCAACAAAACATATAGTTTTATACTAGCATGATTGCCTAACCACTGAACCTCTAATGCTCCTCGACATGAAACTATAGGCTCTCCTGGATTAACCACTTGTTCACTCGAGCACACTTTCGGTGGTAGAAATACCCAGCCAAAGATAATTTAACCTGTCTACGGACTATAGTTTTTTCTCTTCATACACTTGTGATATAGCCGTCGTTGACTTCTAACCGCACCTTAATGGGTACTAGGGAGTTGCTAGACTGCCCAGATGTCCCATGATAATAGTCCCATATAATGCTATACTGGATGTCCCATGTTGTCAGCCCAACCATATGGATTTTTCACTCACATATCTCCACACACAAATATTTTCACATCTCTCGGGTGAACTCCCACCCCCTAAGATCATGTTTTTTCACAAATTCCATTACTTTTTGTCACATTCCCACATCACAATCTTATATACATAGTATATATATATAAACTAAAATTGATAACCTTTTACAAATTAATTTTTCATGCTAAAATCATTTACAATGT